TCCTCCAGTTTTCACTGACCTACCCCAGACTGCAGATGCCATTAAGGGAAGGCACCAAACCCTGCAGATCATGAGGCCAATTACAAATGCAGATTTATGTGACCAAGTGGGGTCCCCCGGCTCTGAGATTGGGGTGTGGGGCCCAGCTGTGGGATCATCAACCCAGGTCTGTGCTGAGCTGGATTTGTCTCCATCTCCCACATCCAGGCTTTTGGTTGCCAAAAGCAGAGCAATAGCAGTGACAGCAGAATCCTAGACAAGATGCAAATTGTCTCAAATGCACTGAGGGGGAGAAAGAAAAAGAGCTTTGTACGCACCGAGAGCCTTCAGCTGGAGCTCTGCTTGGGATGTTTGCAGGAGCCTTTGGAGTGTGTTTGGGTTTTGCATCTGTCGCTTTTAATAGCGGACACATCCTGGTCCCCGTCCTGGTCCCCGTCCTGGTCCCCGTCCTGGTCCCCGTCCTGGTCCCCGTCCTCCCCTGGGCCACCGCCCAGGCAGGGGCTGCTCATGGCAGCACGAGCGAGGCGTCGGGGCCGCGGCACTGCTGGCCCGGCCACGCTTCCCTCACGGAACAGTCCGTGCCTCAGGCTCTTCCTTAGCTGGAATGAGAGCGTGGACAGACGCCAGGCTCTGGGGAAGAAGCAGCATCTGAAAATTGGGTAGTTAAATGCCTGCAGAGTGTCCTGCTGGAGGAGGAATCTGGCAGATTTTGGCAGCGCTGCCTTTGGCACACTCGCTTTAGGGTCACCTCAGTAGCAGGAGGGGATGCTGCTGCTGCCAGGTAACCTCTGACTGTGCTTTTCTCCTTTAATGACAAACTTGGAGCCTCGCGGGCTGTTTAATTACAGTGCAAGAGGTGAAGCGTGACCAAAGCCGACCCTTCCTCCAAGAACTCCTTTCTCTGGGGGGTCGGGTGCACCAGCATCCCAGCGTAGACCAGGGGAGGACATGGGTCACTTGGCAGATCCCTGCCCTCCCTCGGGGCAATGCAGAGGGCAGAGGTGGGGTCCAGGAGTGCCTCTCGTGGTGGTGTGTGTTTGTGCCTCTCCACAGAGGGGGCTGTGTTTGGCTCAGAGGGAGCTGTGTTTGGCTCAGAGGGAGCTGTGTTTGGCTCAGAGGAAGCTGGAGGCCAGGTTGGGGAATGAAGGCCCCTCCGACCACTTAGCAACCATTCTGTGCCAGCTGGGAGCTGGGATGGGACTCGCCTTACCTGGTTTCAGATGTCTGACTGAGCTGATCTTTCAGCTGTTTGGGTTGCCAGCGGGAGCAGAGGAGTTCTGTCCCGGGTCATGTGTTGTGCTCCCCATGTCCCTTCCCTAGCTGAGTGCATGAGCTCAGGGAGGAAATTGTGCTCCTGTGTCCATTGCCAAGAAAAAAATTCAGCCTCTACTTTCTGGGGGATTTTTTTATGGATCATCCCAGTTCTTCTGGGAACAAAAAATTGCCAAAGATTTTCCTACCAAGGCTGATGGATGTGTGCACGTGGTGCTGCACTGAAACCTGGATTAGTGCAGGGATGTGTGGTCCAGGGACAAACCCGTCACAAGCTGCCTGCAGTGCAGGAAGTGCCCATGGCTGGTTCCTGACAGAGCACAAGGTGAGGTGTTGGGATGAAGAGGCTGTGGATGCCCCTTCCTCCCCCAGGGTGGGTGAAAGTGAGAGCTCTGGCCCAGGTCAGCCCTGAGCCACCCTCGCTCCGCTCAGCCCACAGAGCTGGGGCAGCCAGGAGGAACACGCAAGGTAAAAGCACTTGTCACAAGGAATAAAATTGGAAACACGTCTTGGGAAAGTCATTTTGATTCTAATTGGCATTTCTGAGGCTGCTGCTGGAGGCTCCTGGACTGGGCTGATGCCAGAGCACATCCCAGAGCTCTGCTCTCTGCACTGAGCCCGTCCTCAGAGGACCCAGAGAGGGGCTTGTGGGAGCCCGGGCCGGTCTGTGCCCACATCAGGGCATCTGCTGACCTGTGGCAGCACCAACAGGGACCTTTGGGTAAAACCAAAAAGCAGCAGTGGTCCAGGCAGAGCAGCTCTGCCCCTTGGCTCTGAGGGTGTGTTGGGTGCAGACAGGTTTAAAGTCTGGTTTAAGCTCCTCTGTACAGCTGGCAAAGGTTAAAAGATCTCCAGTGTCTTTGCATTTAATTATCTCTTTTAGTGGCAGATTATTGTTTTTCATGGGAGATGAAATCTGGATGGGTTTGAAGGACATTTCTCCTGCACCAGGGGCTGAAATGATTTGTTCAGAGCTGCTACGCTTCGTCTATCCTTGTTAAGTACCCAGGGAATATGGACTGGCACCAAGGGAATTTAATGTGACATATAAAAATAAGGAGTGTTGGAGAAAGCTGTAGGCTTCACAGTATTTAACTACCTTGTATCCTTGCTATATAGCAAGCAGCTTTCCTTGAATTTGAGATGCCAAAGGTGGGAGAACACCTACTGCCTTGCTGTGGGGCTGGTGCTGGTACCCTGGGAGAGCAAGAGCCTCTATCCCTGTGCTGCTCATGTGGCAGTGTGGCTGTGCTAAAGGGGATTAGCACCAAAGGGCTCAACATTGGAAAGTTAAGCATGAGTGAAAATGTAAATAGGCTCAGCAAGCTTTTTTAGTTTTTATACATGAAAATTACGCATCACCATTGTCACAGCTCATTTGGTTGCCAGCCGTTCCTGCTGTCCGGGTGGCACGAAGGGAAGGGCTGGCTGTGAGCTCTGCCCTTGCCAGCATTGTCTCTGTGCCTCCCCAGCTCCCAACCCCGGCTCTCTACAGAGGGATGGAGCTGCAGGGCACCAAGATGGGCAGGATGGGAGAGAGAGCAGGCTCAGGCATCAGGAACTGCATATTTTGGGTACCCAAGGTGTGATGATAACCTGCTTGGGGACTTCAGTCCCTCTCTGTGCTCTTCCCCAGGCAGGGCAGTAGTAGCTCTTCAGACTGCTCACAGGAGAAATCCCATCACTTGCTCTAGCCCTCTTTGTCCTTTTCAAAAAGCCCTTCTGAAGCCTCTCCCTCTGGGAGATGAATTCCTCTCACGTACACTGCCTCCAAGGACCTTCTGGCAACCCCTACAGCAGTGCTGCAGCATCAACAGTGCCAGGTGAGGTGCCTGTCAGGGGAGTTAATCCCCTTTAATCTCTTCCCTCCTCCCCTGAGTCGAGCACACAATCTCCTGCTGTTACAGGAATGTACATTAAATGTGGCTCTTTAGCTTAAAATTTGTGAGACAGGGGAGGGATGTTTCCATCTTTCTGGTGGGATGCTGCTGCACACCAGCCAGAGGTCACTGCCCCAGCAGCAGCAGCAGCCCCTCGTGTTACTCACAGGGGGTTTGTTTACAATCTGACAGAGCTGCTCTCGTGCACCAAAGGGGCACCCTGGAGCCTTCAGCATCGGTCTGCCTCTTACTCATTTTGTGCAGTTGAGGGGTGCACAGAACAGCTCCTGTGACGTGGTTCCATCCATGCATGGTGTGTTATGTGCAGCATCTCCACCCAGGTGAGCCCTGGTGTCCTGACTCCTCCTGCTGTTTAAACAACTCTCAGACAAATGTCTTTGTGCTGCAGCTGTTGGCTCAAGCTCTGCCATGGTGGTGCCCCCCAGCCCTCCAGGAATCGAGTGTGTGCAGATCCAGGCTGCCAAGGGAGAGGGATGCAGTGGAGCCATGGCCACAGGCTGTGGAGACCTCTGCCTCCCACCACCCCTGCTCTTGTTTGCTAAATGACTGTAGTCTGGGCTCCAGGGCAGCTCTCCTGTGACCTGGGCATCTCTTACCTATGGCATTAATTCCCTGTTTCCCTGAACGCTTTTCTGCGGCCAAGGGAAGCAGCTCCTGGGCAGAGCCATGTGCTGTCCTGCCCCGCTGTCCTGCCCTGCTGTCACTGTGCCAGGCCGTGGCAGGGGTGGGAGTGATGCTGCTGAACAGGGGCTCACGAACCAGGCAGGAGCAGGGACATGCTCGGGGTGGGGATGGCTGCTCGGTGGGCAGCTCACTGCCTTTGTCTGCTGCATTTAAGCAGGTTTCACTCAGCAAAGCACACAATCTGAAATCCCACAAACGTGTGGATGGAAAGGAATAGGAAGTACTTGCTGCTCTGTGTGGGGGAGGCCTGGCAACCTGCCCCTCACCTTCTCCCCACCCCGGCCGGCCCACCCCCCCACAGCCGCCTTTAATTGGGTTTCTCTTAAAAAACCAAAATGTGGAACAGCAAAGCACTGTCAGCACAGACCTTCTGCTGGGACTCTCTGGGGAGCAGAGGGAGGCAGGGCCAGGGAGGGGGTTTGGGCTCGAGCTGAAATCTTTGGTCACACAGCAGTGTGGCTCTGCCAGCTGTGGGGAGACGTGCCCAGGCTTCCTGCTGAGCTCTGCCCAGGTATGAGGGCAGGGAATCAGGTTGTGGTGGGTGGAGGCTCTTAAATGGGGGCAGAGTCTGTGTGCTCCTGCTCTGCAGGGGGAAGGGGGCAGAAAATTGGCTTTAACAGTGCAATGTGTGGTGACAGGAGCATCTCTGCCAGAGCGGGTGGCTGCCTTCTGCCTGGGGCTGGAGGAGACACCTGACCTTCCCCTGCTCCCAGGGAAGGCAAGTCAGGTTTCTCTGTGGCTGTGGAGGGAGGTTGAGCAGAGCCAAGGGCTCCTGCTCGGGCATGGAGGGGGCTGGAGTTTGTCTGGACGTTTTACACGGCAATAAACACATCTGTGCATCCCATGGGAGGTGGCTGGAAGCCGTGACCCAGGGCTAAGGGCTCGAAGTGGAACCCAGAGCAGGGTGGGAAGGGAGGGCATTGCTCCATGTGCCACAGCCCTGCTTGTGTCAGCCCTCTGGGTGCCTGAGGGCAGTATATGGGGCAGAGCTCCCAGCCTTGGGCACCTTCCTCCTCCTGCTGCCAGGACATGCTGGGAGGTGAGGTCAGGAGGGTGCTGTAACCACCTGATCTCTACTCCTGCACCTGATGTTGCTCCTGTTGTCCCCTGCTCCCGTGTCACTCCCTCCTGTCCCCTCCACAGGGCTGTAATGTCATGGAAGACCAGGACCTTCGGGACATTGGGATTGGGGACCCGCAGCACCGCCGGAAGCTGCTCCAGGCTGCTCGTTCCCTCCCGAAGGTGAGCACCGATGCTCTCCATGGAGCAGGGACAGGGCTTTGCCCAGCATGGCTGTGAACTCAGGGGAAAACAAAAGCCAGTCCCTGTGTCTCTGGCCGCAGAGGGATCTCAGGGGCTATGGGAAGGGTTCTGGGAATAGCAGGGAAGAGGAGGATTATACTGGTCTGCCAGGCTATGCAGATGGTGGTGGCTCCATGCTGGGGAGAGGGTGGCTGTTCCTCCTGCCAGTCCCAAGAGCATTTCTTGTTTATACAGTGATTTTGTTACTGTAAAGTGCTAGTGGAGATGCGCTGTAAACTGATTTTCATTGACCCCGTATCCCTCTGGATCCCTGCAGCTTTTAACCCCTTTCTTGTGCTTTCACAGTTGAAACCCCTGGGCTGTGATGGGAACAGCCAGCCGTCAGTTCCTGCATGGCTCGACTCCCTGGGGCTGCAGGATTACATCCAGTCCTTCCTCTCGAGTGGCTACAGCTCTATTGACACTGTGAAAAACCTCTGGGAGCTTGAGATAGTAAACGTGAGCGTTGCCTCTCTCTGGCCAGGGCACCAAGGTCCTACCCCCTTCCCTGGGGCTGAGACCTGCCATGAGTTGTCTCACGAAGCCACTTTGTGCCAAGGGCAGGAGAGCCCACGGTGACCATGGTCTGTCCCTGCAGGTGCTGAAGGTGAACCTGCTGGGCCATCGGAAGAGGATCATCGCCTCGCTGGCAGACAGGCCCTACGAGGAGCCCCCGGCCAAGCCGCCGCGGTTCTCGCAGCTGAGAGTGAGTCCCTGCTCGTGGTCCCTGCCTGGCTCGTGTGGCTGTGAGGGCATGTTAGTGCTGGGAGAAATCTTGGCGTGTCCAGTGTGTCTGTTCAGCTCCTCACCTCATCCTCCCCAGCCACCCAGGCAGCAAATACCAGTGCAGGCGTGACCCTGTGATTGCAGCGACTGGGGGAAGGTCACACCCAGCCCTTGCAGGTCAGCCTCTGGATGCTGTCCCACAGGGAAGGTCAGGCCACTCCTTGGGATCAAGTGCCTGCACTGAAGGGGTATAGGGTGCCACCCCCACCTCTGCCCTGCACCAAGGGGAATGTTGGGCCCACTTCCTCACCCTGGTTTCCTGGCCAGACACGCAGCAGTCTTTGGCAGGCAGGAGTGACCCAGCCCATCTGGAGAAGGGCTGCAGCTGGGGCCTGGTGTTTGATTGCACCATTGGGAGCCGGAACCCATCTCCCTGGCCTGGCTGGGCTGCTGAGAGCTCACGCTGTCACTGCCAAATAGCACTCAATGAGATGTGTGGATGTTGATTTTTGCTGCAGGAGTGGCAGCATTTGGATGTCAGGCCCTTGTTATGGGAGTTGTCTGAGAGGGAGCTGTCACGTTCCCATTCTTCCTGAAAACTGGCATCTGAGAACTGAGTTTGGCAAAAGCCACAGGGCTCTCAGTGACCCTGAGAGCTCAGGAGTGTGGTGGCATGTGCTGCTGCCTGCTCACAGTGATTGCAAATCAGCTTCCTGGAGCAGGAATTGGAATGATTAGAGTTTCCCCATCCTAAGCATCCTGTTCTTGCTCTGCTGCAGAGCTCTGCATTCTTGTCCTGCATTCCCAAGTCTTCCCAACACAAACAGCCTTAGCCAAAGTGAGTTGGGCTGCTGTGCCCTGCTTGCTCACATGGTATATTTTAGGAACCAGGTTCAGGTGTGAGAACAGAGAGGGTTCACATTGGTGCTGCACCGGGAGGGTGCCTTTGCCCACTGCTCATCCCCATGAGATGGATGAGACTGAAGGCAGCAGGGCTGGTGGGGAAGAAGGATCCTTCGGTGCAGCTCAGCTGATTGAGATGCTGCCCGGGGAGGCTGGGTGAGAGAATGGGCCATTTGCAGCATTTCCTGGCGCTGCAGCTGGTGCGATCCAGGCTGGCTCCGGCGCGGGGGGCGGAGGGACATCAATGGCAAATCAAGCGAGTGGGTTGAATGGGACTAAATGGGACTAATGCGGCTGCAGCTGTGCGGGGGCTCCACTCCTGGGCTGGCTGATCATCAGCACCCTGGGGTGCTTTGCTCAGTGCTTTAGGGGAGCCCGTTCCTCTGTAAACACCCTGCCTGCAGCCCAGTGTGTCCCCTGCCCCTGGGATGAGCTCGCAGAGGCAGAGGTGTGCTGGGCAGAAGGGGCTGCATACCTGGCTGAAACCATCCTCGAGCAAATTATGGGTCTCGTGCAGAAGATAAAGGGTGGGATCACTGGCACTGAGGCAGGAGCCCCCAGAGCAGGAGCTGACCCCATTAGCTCTGCTCTCTGCACCCTGTGCCAGGCAGTGTAGAGGGGAGTGATGGGGGGCACAGCCCAAACTGACTGGGAGCCTTTGTGGTGTCTGTTCTTTTCAGTGCCAGGACTTGATGTCCCAGACCTCATCGCCCCTGAGCCAGAATGACTCCTGCACAGGCAGATCTGCTGATCTCCTGCTGCCCTCCGGGGACACCAGCAAGAGGCAACACGACCGTGGCACTGAGGTTGCTCCCTACTCCAGAGCTGAGCGCTACAAAGCACAGGTCAGTGGGTGCTTTAGTGTGTCCCAGTGGCCCTCTATGCAGGCTGCCCTCTCTCTGGAGCCAGGGAGGAGGTAGGGTGATGCAGAGCTGGTCGGGCTCAGCTTTCCTCAGGCATTAGAGGCAGCAGCTCCTTTATGCCTTGGTTTCACCTCAAAAACAGGCAGCTCGTGCTTCCATCAGAGCTGGCACTTTCATCTGCCATGTGCTGCCTTCACCCAGCCCCTGGGGGGCTTGGCCATTGCCAACCTCAATCACCTCAGCCCAAAGAGCCCTCCTGAGAGTTGTTTCAACCCATGTTGGACCTGATGTGGCTTCACATCCATGTTTCTTCCTTCCAGGAGGACCGTCGGGAATCCAAGCTGACCCTGCGCCCCCCCAGCCTGGCTGCCCCATATGCCCCAGTCCAAAACTGGCAGCACCAGCCCGAGAAGCTCATCTTTGAGTCCTGCGGGTACGAGGCCAATGTAAGTGGCTTTTGGCTTGTGGGTGTGATGAGGATGAAGAGGCTCTGGGGTCAGGCCATTGCATGTGGAGTTGCAGGGCCATGGCATTGCCTTGGCAGGGTTTAACATCTCCCCCTCCTTCAAACAGTACTTGGGCTCCATGTTGATCAAAGACCTCCGAGGGACAGAGTCTACACAGGATGCTTGTGCCAAGATGAGGGTACGGAGGCCCTGGGGCCGCTTGCAGCCTGTGGTGGATGATGTGGATTGGGGGATGGGGGATCTCAGTGAAGCTGTGGTTCCCCAAACCCTGTGGGGGCCCAGACCACCAAACAGGCAGTGCCGCTGTCGCTGCTGAACTGCCCCTCCCCAGCACCGTTCCCCGTAGCTGGAAGGTCTGTGCAGTGGGAGAGTGGGTGTTTTCGCTGGGGAAGGGGTGGCTGGGTTCACTTCAGGTCCCCATCCCTCCCCTTCTGTTTCCACCGGGAGCTTGCTTTCCTCCTTCTGGTCCAAGACCCCCAAAACCTGCCTGTATGGGCCTGGGGTCTCTGGGGTGGGCTGGGGCAGGGGTGAAGAAGGGAGCATCTATTCACAGCTGGTCACTTGAATGTTCTTGTTTCTGAAGAAATCCACGGAGCACATGAAGAAGGTCCCGACCATAATCTTGTCTATCACATACAAAGGGGTGAAGTTCATCGACGCCTCCAACAAGGTGAGCTGCAGATGCCTTGGAGTTGGTGTCTGGAGGGACAAGACCTGCAGTCCCACCTGCCTGGGGGCTGCAGGTCACTTTTTGTGGCTCCAGAAGCCACAGCTGGTCCTGGGGAACTGCTCAGGCTATGGGGGAGCACCAAGGTGATGATGGTTACCTAAGTGCCAAAGGCTTGGCAGACTAGCTGTTTGTGGACCATGTTGCCATTTATTCTTGCCATGGGAGGGAGCTGGGACTGGTCCAGCTGGGAGACTCCCCCTCCCTGCCCCCAGGACACACTCCGCAGCCACCGTTTGCTGGGTGTATTTGCCATCCCCAGAAGGGTGACAGGTGCTTGTGGTTGACCCTGGCAGAATGTCATTGCTGAGCACGAGATCCGGAACATCTCCTGTGCTGCTCAGGACCCCGAGGATCTCTGCACATTTGCCTACATCACCAAGGATCTGCAGACCAGCCACCACTACTGCCACGTCTTCAGCACTGTGGATGTGGTGAGTGGGTTACTGCATTGCATCTCCCAGTCCTTTACAGTCCACTTGTTTTATCTCTCAGCTTTGTTAGCGAGTCACAGACCAGTATCTAGTCCCTTCTAGGGTTCCTTCACCATTTCTACCCTAAAACAGTGCTGGCTCCAAATGCCTTTACTTTGGACCTCTGTGGACAGTATTTGTCTGGCTTCGTTCCTGCAGTCTCCAGCACTGAATAAAGCAGGGCAGGAGCTTTCCCTTCTGGGGAATGTGCCATGCACAAACCCCTCACATGCTCTCAATTATGTTGTGAGCATAATGGGCTGATTTAACAACCTTTTAACTCACTGAGAAGGTGGAAGCATGATTCGCTTTTATACTTGGGCAAAATCAGCTGCATGAGATGTTTGGGCTTTTTTTCTTTACGCTGCTGAACTGTGGTGCTGGTGGGGCTAAGAGGCAGGCAGGAGGTCCTGGGGGAGGTGTGGGGACTGTGCACAGGGTGACCTGACGGCTTTGTGCTCTGTGTTCTCTCCAAGAACCTGACGTACGAGATCATCCTCACGTTGGGGCAGGCGTTCGAAGTCGCCTATCAGCTGGCCCTTCAAGCCCAGAGAGCAAAGCCTCTTGGTGCTGGAGCAGGAGAAATGATTGAAACAAAATCTTCCAAACCAGTGCCTAAACCGCGAGCCGGCATGAGGAAATCTGCGGTACGTGTGTGCGGGAGGGAGCGACTGCTGGTCTGAGCTGGGCTTTCCCTTGGGCACCACACGCTTACGCCTCCCCTGGGTGGTGGGGGGAGCCCAGGTGTGGCTGAGGTGCCTGTCAGTGCAGGTGCTGCTGACACTGCAGGTCTGTGCCTCTGTCAGTCCTGCGGCGGGGTTGGGGCTTCCCCCCGTAGGGGGAGGGCAGGCAGAGGTGGAAATGGCCTGGTGGAATGAGGCTTAAGGGCCCTGCTGGGTCCAGCACAGCTTCCATGTGCAAACCCTGCAGAGCCGCAGTGAGATCCATAGGTGACCTGCAGTTTGCAGTACAAGATTCCTCTGTAGCCAAAACCAGCCAAGACTGGAGCTGCTGAGGAGCAGGGACTGCTGCCATAAGCCACTGCCTTCCTTTAATGTCTCCTTTTGTCTGTGTTCTGCTTGCTCCCCCCGCTCAGGTGCCGCTCCCTCCCGACACCCGCTGTTGTTACTGTCACACCTGTACAACACACCGCCCCTCCTACCTGCCGCTGCAGTCTGTTAGTCCCGGAGCGAAGGTCTTTACCCTTCTTCCTGCCATCCTCCCTTCCGAACTGACCCGGGCTGCCTCCCCACTCCCCATGTCTCCTGCTGTGCTCCCGTGTCCTGCCTCGCTGCTGTCCTCCCCCTGCTCGTTCCAGCCCGTGCCGTGGGTTCGGACGAGCCCCAGGGATGTGCTGCTCCCACCTGCTCCTGCTCAGCAGTGTGGCAGCTCTCAGCTAACTCTGCTGCTCTTGCTGGTGGTGGTAACTTCTCTGTGGCACCCTGATTTAGGAGGACAAAAGGAAAGAGCCGTGCTTGGTCAGGAGAGTAAATCACACGGGAGCTCACCTGCCAGGAGCTGTCTCCCTCTCTCCTGTTTTTGTAGCGCTCCATTTTTCATGCTTGTTTGAGATGAGTTAAGCTGTCACCAAGGGTGACAGGGACTTGCAGCCTAATGCAGGAAGTCATCTCGGGGTGCTGGGTTGAGACTGACGTGGCCAGACATGTTTTAGATGTGAAGGACTCAAATGTCTGCCCAGCAAGAGCTGCTTCCTTGCCACGTTTCTGGGACGGGCAGTAGGCAGAGCAGCAGTTGCTCTGTGCTTTGAATCCCCACTTGTTCTGTCCCAGAAGCATGGGTGACCTAACATGCCCTTTTCTCGGTATTTTCTAGCTGGATCCCCCTGAAGTGGACCAAGACTCCCAGTCTCATGCCAGTGTCTCCTGGGTCGTGGACCCCAAGCAGGACTCCAAGCGGACCCTCAGCACTAAGTATGAGACCACTATCTTCTAAAGCCGACACCGCGTCCGCCCCGTCTAACCGTGCCTTTGCGATCTGATCTGTCTGCTCTTCTAAACTCCCTCTTCCTCCAGCTGCTCGCCCTGAGCCCGTGTAGGCACCACGTCCAAGGCAGCAGCACTTAGGAGACTGTAGACTTAAACAGCTTTTGTACCTGATCGCTGCTGAACACTGTGAATCTCCTTACTCGGAAACAAGGGTAACGCGCTGTAGCTGAATGTGAGGCGGGAGGAGCAGAGGGCAGGCTGGGAGTCGGAGATGTGGATCCAGGAAAGCCGCCTGCCGTTTTCACGTCTTCCCCCTCGCTCTGGCACTGTGAATCCCTGGGGCAATGTGACACTCCCCAGGCCTTTTTTTCTATCTCACCTTGTCCTTGGACTGATGGAGACCTCTTGTCTCTGCGGTGCACACACTCCCTTCTCCTAGATCCTCCTCTTCCTGACTGAGCCACGGCTGTATACTGTTCAGTGAACTCACCTCTCCTTCCCTGCCAGTCGAGTTGACACTAACCACTGTGATGCTCTCTGCAAATAACATGCGGGCACTCCATTTCTCACGGTGACCCTTGCCCGCAGCCTCGCTCCTCAAAGCCCGGCACAGATCCTGCTCCGCTGGGGGAGCACTGGTTTGGGCCGGGTGTGATCGTTCCCACTGTGAGCTCTGTCCCCTCAGAGATGAGGGGGGGGTTGGTTGCATGCATTTCAGTCCCTTGTAGGTTTTTCTTCACCCCTTAGTCCTCCTGTTTACACTCATCAGACTACTCGTGAGCTCTGGGCGTAGTTCTCATGGGGCAGCCTGTGGTTAAGCTTCCAAAGGCACATGTTGCTGTTAGCCCCGGGCTGGGGAGGGGAGGTGTGGGCTGGACACCGAAAGCAGCAGTTGGCATCAGCAGGGAGAGGTCAGGGAGCAGCCCTGGGTTATTTGCTCCTCACGTTAAGGGCAGCAGCAGCTTGTCCGAGCTTTGCTGGGGCTTTAGAGCTGCTGCCTCGAAGCTTCCATTTCCCCAGACTTGCGGCCAAATCTGATGTTTCAAAGTCTTTATTTAGCTCTTTCTCAGGAATGAGTTTGATCTCCCAAGTCATTTGTGACTTAATGGTACTGAGTGGCAAACTGACTTCAGACTGAGGGCTGTGCTAGTGAGGATCCAAGCAAGAGGACTAAAAGTAAAAGGACTGTCTTGGAGGAAAAAAAAGGAAAGCTCAGTCTAGTAAATACATTTCATGTGCCACAGAGCCCCTGATATAGAGCCAGCACTGCCCAGGTGCTGCAGTGCCACCCTGCCAGCCCAGGCCTTGTGGACAGAACGTTGCTGCGCCTCGGGTGCTCCTCGAGGCTGGGCTTGGGTTCCATCAGCAAAATTCCAAGCTGTAAGAGTGCCCTAAGGTTTCTGTATCCCTCAAAGAGAAACTGCCTCACTGGTGGGGGTGGCAGTGCAGTTTCTACGTGTAGGCATTCACCATGCAGTTGCCACACGTCTGCCCAACTTCAGAGGGTCTGAGCTCTGAGCTTTTCATCTCCCCCTGCTCTCAGCTGGGAAGGGCAGGTTCCTCCACACTTCCTGAATCTGGGTCACTAGAGCATGTGCCTTTCTAAGGGTGACCAAGCCCAGCAGGGATCACAGGCAGCCCTGCCCAAGCCACGACACTGCCAGTGTGTGTCCGTAGCCCTCACTCTCGTGTCCCATCTCCGGGGCCATTCGCCTCGTCTTTCCCAGCACGTGTTTTTGTATGACTTGGAAATTCATTCCGTTATCTCCCTTTCTGTTTGCCTCTGCGAAGCTGAGCTCCAGGCAGCCGTCTCCTACCATGGAATGTAGTTACGGGGCAGAGACCTGGGACGCAGTGGCTGCTGACATGAAGATCATCTCCCTCTGGCACAGGCGGCTGCCTTGGAGTGGGTGCGTGGCTGCTCGGTGAGGGCTCCCAGAGCAGAGGGGGAAGGGACTCAGCCCCCGCTGAGGAAAACCACTCTCTCCTTTCCTAGCGAAGGAAACTTGAGACTTGGAGGCAGAGAGCGATGTCGCCTTTTCTAGTTTGAGACAAACGTCTTTCGACCTGTTTCTTTTTTAACGTGTGAAATGACACAGAGCAAATGCAGTTCACGGTTTCAATGTAGCACCGCAGCTTTTTGTTGAGGAAAAAACCCGAAATATTTACTGAGAATCCCACAGTCCAGCGAGGAGTACGATAGAAAGTCTTAGCAGGGGCATGGTGTGCACATCTCTGACGGTACTTACTCTGCTTCAGCTCTGGGTGAACAGGAGAGAACGTCAAACTCTTGGATATTGCTTCCTCCCGTGTGAGAACCGTGCGGGGTAAGTCTGCATCCTGTTCTCCAAGCCACTCCATGCTTTTGTAGCAAATGGAAGTAACTTGAGGAAAAGAGTCTGCAAAGGATCTTTCCCCCCAGAGCGGTTGTGGCCAATATCCCCAATGGTACAAAGCTTCCTTATCCCCTGAACTGTCGCATTGCAATACTTGACATTTCTATGGCAAGGACCCCGTTTCTTCCCATTTCCACATTGAATTCCTGGGGACGACTCCCTCCTCCAGCCTCTGTGCACCTGTCTTGTTTTTAAATGCAGTTATGCCCTGAAGGGTTGGGGGTTTTTAAGTATATTCAATTGTGATTTAGCACTTTTTTGATACTAGCTCATTATTTAATTAGTGCAACAATTTCAGAAGATGAACAAATAAGGAGTTAAACTTTGGGCATTACACTGAAACAGTCCATTCCTGAGGATAAACCACATCAGCCTGAGGGTGGCTTGGCCCTGTGCAAGCCCAGTGTCCCCAAAGACACAACCTCGAAGGTGCTGTGTGCTTGCTTTTCTTTTGAATTACAGAGTGTTTAACAGCGGTTTGGGCTGTGACTGACGTGTTTTCAGACTGTTCCCCTCAGGGGAGAATATTAATATAGTTGTGATTTAAATTCTTCAGATGCAAAATGTAGCGCAGTGCGTCCGTTACGATCTTGTCAGGCCTTATCAGGGCTGTGGGACCTGCTGCTGCACGGGAACACTGTGCCCAGGTAATTCCTGTTTAACTCCAGTTGCTGCTGTATGTCAGGATTTCCTTTAATCTCTCTCACAGTGAGGCTGGGAGAGAAGCAAACCGTGATCCTGAGGGCTCAGACCTGTAAAGGATTGGGAGGGAGAAGTGAAGATTTTGGGTGAAGCTGATGAATTTAGGAAACCTAACATTCCTTGTTATGCACATGTTGCAATTCATACTGGTGTTAAGTGTAAATATTTGGTGTGTTGGCAACAAGTCGTTGGCGAGATTGCAAATTGAACCTCTGTTTGGGAGGTTTCTTTTCTGACACGTGAGCTTTTTGGAGGTTGGCTTGGAGGTGACATGGTGATGAAGACTCCAATCTTCAGGGACTGGGCTCGGTGACCCTGGTGGTCCGTTCCAGCCCCACGTGTAACCCTGTGGTTGTCTTTAGTGATCCAACCGTTCTTTAGCCAGATACTCCCTTTATCACCTGACAGAACAGTTGTTTTAGCAGTTCAGTGTGGTGGGATCTCTCAAGGGAGTCAGTGCTGGAGACTGACCCTGGGCCGTGCCAATTGCTGGCTCCTGGCCACATTAACCCACCCACTGCACAGTATTCGGGCTCTTCCTCCCTGCAGGGTTTTGTGGTATCTGGAGGAAAGTGCCCCAAATTTCTGGTGCTGAATATGACTTTGCATCAAACTGCATCTGCTGTATTTACCTGCCTGGGAGAAGGTGGGGCTGCCCTGGGCCTTGTTCCCCTCTTTAAGGACAGATTGTGTTTCACAGACTTTGGTTTGTGGGCTGAGCCCTCACTCACGGCCGGCAAACGGAGATGCTGAGTTTTGTCTTTTTTTTATATAGGAGGGGATGATTTTTTTTTTTTTTCAAATTGAAGATGCTTTATCCTTTTTTATTTTGTGTTTACAAAGAAAAAAACAGCGCTAATCTTAGCTGTTCCGCTGACTTTAAACTTGCTTTGGGATTGTTCTTTTTAGAAGAAATTATGCAACCTTTTTGGGGTACACGCCTGTCCCCTTCCCAGGGAGAAGATATGGCACCTTCCAGGCTGTACATGTCGTGAATTCTGTACCTTCAGGAGGCTGCTGAGACACAGAGCAGATGCCAAATAGCACCAGAACACGTCCCGTTCTGTGTGCAGCTGAGGTGGAGCCAATGCTTTAATGCTCCTTCCACCCACCTCATAAGTTTCCAGCAGCAGCGTTTCCCCAGCTCTGCTCACATCAGTTCCGTGCCGTCAGACCTGTGGTTTGGAGCCGGTACAGCGCTCACAACGCTGCCTTGTTGCAAAGGTCTCCCTTTTAGGTCTCGCATTGGTATTACTTAATTGCATTTTTTTTTCCCAAAAGAAAGTACCTGTGCTGCTCTCACTAAGTCAACCCAGCTCAGACATTTTTCTTACCCATGGAAGAATAACCTGGGATTCCCTGACAGGGTAGAGACAGTCAAGTTCAGTTTGCAATGTGGACATTTTTGCTAATTGTGATGTATGGCAGTGGGGCTGATTTGTATACAAATGTTATTTAATCTGTCTGTATTTTGATACTTGAATTTCCTTTTATTTCTTGTATATACAATTGTTAATCTGTTCGAATTTGTCTGAATTTTAAACATCTTGTGGTACCAAACGTAACCAATCTGTGCAACAACATAGACTGACCTCACTACAACAAGGCGAGATTGTAAATATTCCTGGGCTTCCAGCAGTCGTTTTGTTGTTTTCATAATTGTACAACTTAGAACAGACCGAATTAATAAACAACCTTAGACACACGTTTGTGCTGTTGTCTGTGGCCTCAGTGTTGTACCCAAGTCTCTTGGGTGTCTGTGTCAGACCAGTTCTTGTCCTGTGGGTGCCAGCCTAGAGGGGTTTGGGGCCATGCAGGGGGGGCAGCACTGGGGGCTGAGCAGCTGCTTTGGTTGAAGCTGCTCTTTTTTGCAGCTAGTCATAATGACCCAAATATCAAATATTATTGAGACAAACTAATTTATGCATAAAATTGCATCCACATGTTCTGTTAAAGACAGCACAAGGGTCTGCAGCCACTGTGGGTGTGTTCTCCGCATGATGGTGTGTGAGAAAAGCTGACTTTACCCCCACTAATGTACATCTGCAAGGACTGTGCCCTGGCAACTGTCAGGACCTGAATGTACTCACAATAACCACCGAGATCCTTTTTTTGCAGCGTGGCAGTGAGTAGTTCCAGGGGCCTGTTTCAGCAGCCATAGCTTGAAGCATTTACCCAGCGAAGACCTGGGGCTTGCCAGGAACTAGGACATTTCATTATGTAAAATTAGAGCAAGAAATCTAGACATTTAAATACAGGTTAAAGTTCAGATTTTCATGTCAAGTAAAATCTGGCTGATGTAAAATACTAAATACGCCAGGGATTGCTAAATTTATACTGTATGTTCCATTTCTAATATCTCGGCAAGTCAGGTTTTCAGGCTGACTCTGAAACACACGGAGCTGGTTTAATGGTTTGAAAGACTGTGCAGTTTTATCCCTCACAGCCACAGCCCTGGCTGGGACCGACGCCTCAGCAGAGGTTACAGGCCCAGGGCAGAATTAACACCTTGAATTAAAAAGGCCTGAGCTGCACTGCAGTTCAATGAGCTCCACAGCCCCCTTGCCTTCCCCCTCAAATGCTGGCAGGTTTTTTGAGGAAAGAAGGCCACTACTTTTTGTAGTTTAGAGGTTTATTCAGATCCTGACATACGAAGGGGCACTTCCCACTGACCCTGGTTAGGTGGACTTTTACAAGCTGAGGCAGGATCTGAGAAACTGGAGAATGGATTCCACTCCTGCCTGGTACACAGAGAATGTGATGAAAAATAATCCAGTCTGTGTCTGGGAGAAGCACCTTCCTGAGAATTCCCGGACTCCTGCCTGTTGTGGTGGATCACGCATCCAAACCTGCACCCAACTTCCAGCAGCTCTTCCTGAATGGGGAACGGCCTTTGGGGAAATCTTTTTGAGAATTATGTCCATCAAAGAAAATTAAAAGGCTGAGGAAGGAATGAATCCACTGCCCTCCAGGGAGTAAAAGTATGAAAACAGAAAATTATTGGTCAATCAACCTTTGCACAGAAATCTCCTGTGAGAGAAGCACAGCACTTTTCAGGGAAACTCTCCAAGCCCTCAGAGAAGACCCAACAGAACATTTTTCTAGCTAGTGCTTGTTTTTGGAGTGAGAGTGTGTCAGGCACTTAAACAGCTCTTCAGTTGAAACACCGACACCTCAGAGGGAGCTCCTCTGCAGAGTGTGCTTTGTTCTTGTCATAGTCACAGCTTACACAGCTGGAGCCTCTAAATCTTTCCATACTAGTGAGTCATACCTGACACCAGATTTAAGAACTTCTTAGTACATCATAAAGCATTGAATAAATAAAACAGGCTCCAACTTCTTCAACTTATTTCAGGAGCTATCCTACTTTCTTGTTATTTCTAGTGTCATACCCGAACCACCTCCTTCCCCATTCTCACACGTTACAGAGAGAAGCCAAGCCTATGTAGATATACACATCTATAGACAGATATGTGTATACACACACAGACTTTGTGGACGAAGCTGATCCCTGGCAGTCCCAGGTCGCTCTGATGACAATTTCATGCACAGCGGTCAGTATGGAAATGTAAGTCCGTAGCTCCTCCAAGGAGAGAACTGGTGCAGGGCTGGCTGCACAAAAGCAGGATAAAAGTAAGAGAAGAATGCGGAGGAAGGGGGGTTAAAAGCATTACCGAGCAGCTTTTGAGTGAAAACGTGCAGGTTCGTGCTCAGACAAATCACCTGCTGTGGGTGTGAGGGGACGCTCCTCCGCCGCCGGCCCCGCCATCCCCGGCGCGGGGCTGACCCCTAGTGCCGGCCGGGAGCGGCGACCGCGCCGCCTCACCGGGGTGGCACTGGGGACACCGAGTCACACCGAGCAGTCACACCGAGGAGTCACACCCAGTCACACCGGGTCGCACCGTCCCGGGGGCCCCGCGCCCGCCCCCGCCAGGCCGCGGACCCCGCACTCGCGGGAGGCGGCGCCCCCCTGCCCAGCGAATGGGCCGCGCCGGGCGCCGGGCGGAGGTGGCGCGGCGGGACGCTCCCATTGCAGGCGGGGGGGGGAGCGAGGGGGCGGTGGCCCTGGTGCGAGGCGTGTCCGTGCGAGGCGTGTCCAGGCGCCGCGACCCGCGGGCAGCGCGGGTTCCGTCCCTGTTCTCACGTCTCAGCCACCCGTTCCCCGCCATCCCGGCTGTGCTGTCGCAGGCGCTTCATCCCGGGAGCTGCGGCGGGAGCAGCCGGGAGGCTGCAGGGAGCGCTGCCGGCCGTGCAGCCGCCGCCGCGTCCATCTGGGTTTGTCCGTTTTCCTTTCTGGCGGGCCCTGAGGGAAGGCCCTGACTCCGGCCACCTCCTGTAACCTCCCCTCGACTTCGCTGAAATTGGGATTAAATTTTACGAGGGGCAAAACCACAAAATCTGGGATGAGGCTCCCTGTGTGTCAGTAAACAATTTGCCTTTCTTCTCCCTCCCAGAACTTCCTTTTTTATTTATTTCCTCAGCACCTGTGCAGCCGGGGCTGGTGCCGGGGGGTTACGGAGCCCCCGGGCAGGGTATAGGGCAGCTGCTCAAAGCCACAGGAATGGCTCGTGAGCAGGAAAGCAACTGGTCATGAGAAACAAAACCAGTAACGCTCCTCATGGGACCAGTTTGGCCCAAATCCTGCGCAGGAATTTCCCCCAGTGCTCCCTGTTCAGCTTTGTGCAGTGCCAGCCCCAGTTTCTGCCCTTTTCTGATCCTTAGCTTCAGGTGAGAAAGGTGAGGGTGGGGAAAAAGCATTTTCCTCACCGTTCCTGAGGGGACTTAAGTTTGCTCTTGTCTCTGTTTCAGAGGAGGGCCCACTGCTCCCAGCCCATAAATCCTGATCCCAAGGGAGTTAATTGTAAGTATTTAAATATATATGCATTTTCCCTTCATTAGTTTCCTCTCCCAAGTGACTGGTGACATGAAGAATTGTAATAGCAGTATGTATTTTTAATGCATTTCCTGCAGATTTCTGCAAAGCAATCTAATTCCTGAGTGGCTTTAACTTGCCAGAAAGGCAGAAGACCTCAGGAGCACTGGTAACAGGCAGGGTGGGTTCTTCTAATCTACTGTTTTAATGAACTCCATCCATCTCTCTGATTAGAATAATCTCATTTATTTTAGCCAAGCCATCTAGCTGAAATCCCAACAGAGGAAATTGGGATTTTGAGTCTTTCGGGGTGAGCACTTGAGTGTCAGGCAGCAAACTCCATAGGGAGATTTCCAATTTGCCCTTTTATCATCTCAGAAATTTGTAACCCAGATGATCACATTGGAAAAGAACCATCTGAGCTGCAAATCTGCACCACAAATGGCATTGATGAGGGGCCATGGAGAGCCCATGCAAATCCTCTGCCCTGTTTGAAGCAATTTCCCTAAGAAATCAAACCCAGCCTGGCACAGAGGGCTCAGCTTTCCTAGAAGGCTCCCATTTTCCCAGCAGGAGCAGAGAGAGCTCCACAGCTGGAGCATCCTCACCATCCTCACCATAGTAGGAACTCACCATAGTTCCACCACAGTGGAACAGCCACACTTCTGCAACCCTGCCGGCACAACTGTGCTGGGCGCAGCAGCAGGGAAGGGCCTGCCAGTGCAAACAGAAACACCTTCCCCATGGAAGAGGAAATGGATTTTTTGTTTAAAAGATGGTGATGTTTTTCCAAGCCTGACAAATATGAAAGTCCCCATTTAAAGGAGTCGAACCAGCAGTGAAATTGGTCACTGTTTGCACACCCACGCACGGCCAGAGGCAGCCGAAAGCAAACTTCCTGGGGTATCCCAATCCAAATGACCTGGGAGCAAAGCACAGTGCCCCAAGCTGTGAGCCACCCTGCTGAGCAGCCACAGAAGGTTCTCTGCAAAATAGCAAACCCAGGCCCAAGAGGAGAGGCAGAGCCCAGGTGGTGTCACAGCCCCCGCTTCCAAATTTGGAGCCTACAAGCCACAGCTGTGGCTGTTAGAAATCAGCCTGCAAGGAGGAGGGCAATGGGGGCAGAAAGTGTTAGCAGGTGTTTTGGGAGGGTGTGGAGGGGAGAGCCAGGAGTTTTCCTCTGCCCCATCAGTTAGGAAAGCTGTTTTTGCAGGAGCTCCTGGGGCACCAGACAAGGTTTGGATTGTTCCTGTGCTGGATGCTGGTGCAAGTATATGGGCAGACAGCTGGATCCTGAGGAGCTCCTGGCATCCTGGCAGGCACATGAAGGGGTGTGGTCCACCTTGTCCAGGTAAGAGGATGTCTTGGTGTTGGGTTTGATTTTGGTTGGGAGTTCTTTGGAGAATTGAGTGTCTGCTGCCATGATGGCTCTGGCGTGGGTGTCAAGGCGCATATGTTCCTGTAACATGTCACATGCTTCACCGATTACTATGGTACCTGTTAATTCCCTGCTCCTGAACTGGTGTGTGACCTTTTCCATGAGACATCCCATGTGCATGACCTGGCTGTTGCCACCTCAGTCACAGTGCACGTGTCCGAGCTGTGGGGACAAGCCATTACCCATCCTGTCCAGTCACCTGTGGGCAGTGCCTGGTCTCTGGGCATTTCAGACCAATCTGTCATCTGTGTATTTAGGAGATGGGTTGGTGCTGGGTAAACTGAGGCTTGGAGGGGTTTGGCTCACGGCCATGTAGGCAGCCTGGCCAGAGCCCAGGCATCATTGCCAGGAGATGTGCCTGGAGCTGAGGACATGATTCTTGTGCCATCTCACC